TTTAAACAATCTGACGATAAACTGTGCTGTTATTACTGATAGCTACTATTTAGCCATACCACAGGAACACAAGATTTTCACTCCAAAGGGAACAGACTAATTCTACATGCAAAATCCTCCCTGAGATTGTAGTGATTAATAATAAAACTACAAAGTGTTGTAATCAGAGTTTCTCATGATAATTGAGGACACGGGAAAAAAAGGGAATCAATCTTCTCAGGGCAGATGTGAATGCAGGATGTTGATATTAATACTTCTGCTGCTACTGTTTCCTCACACAGTGAGCCAAACTCAGGTTTCTAAATGTAGGGTATGGCAATCCTCGCCAACAGTTCACAGATATTCACAGTCTGGGGATTTCATTTACGGAGGTATCCCTTTATTGAACATCTTCTTTCAAAACCAAATTTTCTTCAATCAACTTCCTCCTGAACCTGTCTTATCTGAGATGTTCGTATTCCTTCTTTTTTTTCCTCTCCCCTGCCTACGTCTCACACCTGGTAGGGCCAAACCTGTAGGAAACTTCTCTAATGCTCCTTACACATTGTTTCCATTCCCTCCAACGAGGCAAAGGGGAGCTGCCTGGGATGGTCATGTTCTGGTGAAACAGGCTCTGCATTCAAGCTACGATTTGTTTGTTTTGTAGGCAACTTCAACAAATCAAAAGGAGAATTCAAAAAGCTTCTTTTTCTGATAAAATACAAGTATACAAAAATTTTCGAACAATTATTATGTGTATATCTGGTTTGGGTTTTACTGTTGTTGTCATTATGATTACTGTACATTTTAATTTAGGGATTAGGGAAAGTCCTTTTAACAAACTACTGAGACATGTTTTAATCTGTTTTAAAATGTGAACATTTGGACAAAGATAGCTTGAATTTTCTCATGATTATACTGCAGGGAAGTGGTTTTGTCCTTAAGATCTGGAATATGGGAAATCTGGTGGATAGCTGAATGTCAATATTTTATTTCTTCTTCAGATGCTATGAATATCATTTCCAGAAAGAGGAAATACTGCCATGTATATGCATGATTATGCTACCGTTTTCAAACAGGTCCTGACAATATCGTGTGAGATGGGCTGCTTAAATTATTTTCATTCCAGATCTCCACCCATTCATAGCTATTTTCTGACATCGTTTTTCCTCCATCATACCTATTTGTCATAGTCATAATGGGCTACGTCATCTGTCTAAAGTGACTAGAAAGTAACCTATTCCAGTCACCCATAACCCCCCAAAATATCTGTTTACTGTAAACAAGAATCCTAAGGCAGTCCACCATATTCCCACGTAAATTCCCAAGGCTTCCTTTTCCCTATTTCCTTGGTACCATGATCATTAAAAAAAAAAAAAAAAAAAATCCATGTGGGTTAGGGTAGTCACACTGCTCTTAACAGGAGAAAAAAGGCTGGTGTTATGTTAGGCTAATTTCATTCTCAAGTGTACTACATAATAAAAGAAAGACTTCCTCCTTAATCCAAAACTCACAATATTTTAATGAAAAATAAAATGATAACATGAACAATATTAACAATCTGACAGTACGATAACGAACAGAAAATCTGTCAAATGCTGACAATATATAATGGAACCCTTTTTCCAGTGTAGTGACGGAGAATTATCAGCACATCTTGGCTTTAGCTTTTGCTGTAAAGGAAATGAATGAAAACCACAGGATCTTACCCAATATTACACTGGGATTCAATATTTATGACAGCTATTTAACTTCCAAGTGGACCTATCATGCAGCAGTACGATTTCTCTCCTCCAACAACAACCTGGTGCCCAACTACAAGTGTGGCATCCAGGATACCCTATTGGCAGTTACTGAGGATCTGAGCTCTGAACGTTCCCATTGGAAACCCAATATTTTGGGCATCTACAAGATTCCACAGGTAGGATGTGTATATGTAGAGAATAAGGTAGAAACTGCATGACAGTTTTAAAACTAAAACCTATTGTAGTTGCTACTGACAGTAGTGTGAAGGAGGAGGAGGAGGAGGAGAAGGAGAAGGAGAAGGAGAAGGAGAAGGAGAACTGAGATAAAAATCAGTGACTGGCACTACCAGGTGGAGCATCCAAATCTTCTCCCTGGGCTTTGAATTCAATCTGTATTAGAGGAGAATACCGTGCTCTGCCCATATATATGATAGTCCTCAGCTTTTAAAAATTGTCCAGTAAAGTAGTTCTTGGACACAAAATGTTTTTGCACTCTTTTATTTTCAGATATAGGACAACTATGTTGTGTTACACTGGTGATCATCAAAGTTTCCAACTTCTGAAATTGAATACATTTGACAGGTTTCAGAATAGATTTATAAATAGGCACAAACTTTTCCAGTTTTTAAAAATGCCACATATATTAATAGCTGCTACAGATTTGCAGCAATTTTGAATATTTTGTTTTATTTTGCTTTGTTTTATATTTAGGATAGTCCTGTCTTATAGACCTGAGCATTGTACTATCATTCTCTGATTGCTAAAATATTGTGAAATAGGAATGAATTTCATTCTTTCCACTTAAAACAGAAATTGGAAACCAACAAAAGGTTTTTTTAATTGAACGATAAAAATCTCTTAAGTACACAGGGATTCAGTAAAAAGGCCATTTACTCTTAAACTCCAATGATTGTGATAAATGAAAAATAATTCAATCAGAAATTCTCTTATAATTTTGTGCCCCTGATCAAGGCCCACTTTCTCTGACTTATTAAACTACTGGACACTCATGATATTTTGAACAACATGGTATTTCTTATCTCAACGTATTTCCAGTTCATGTATGGCTCTGGAATGGTGATAAGAGAAAAGAACCATCTGCTCCACTACTATCAGATGACTCCAAATGTGCTTTATCAGTACAGAGGGATTATGAGAGTTCTCCAGCATTTCAAATGGAATTGGATTGGATTCTTTGTTGCCAATGGAATGCATTTAGAGAGTGTCATGAATGTCATCATTCCAGAATTTTCAAAAAATGGTATCTGTACTGCAAAGGTAGATACACTAATTTTATGTTTTGATGTAGAGTATAAAAAATGTGCCACACAATTTTACTATCAAGTCATGAACAGCAAAGCCAATGTGCTGGTTTTCAGTGGAGACATGTGTTCCATGGTACTTTTGAGATGGTTGCTATCTTCTGAAGTTCAACACATGATAGAAAAACCCAAAGGCCATGTTTGGTTTCTGACTGCTGGGATGGAGCTAAAAACCATGACTGGAAAAAATGGCTGGCATATAGGAGAATTCCATGGTGCTTTATCCTTTGCAGTTCATTCCAATGAAGTCCAGGGATTCCAGCAATTTCTCAAGGACA